TCCTTTTAGAGATGAGCCACGGTGGCTAAGTGGGTAAGACGCTGGCTCGCTAGACTGGAGGTCGCGTGTTTGATCCTTGCATTGGCCGAGAAAATGCATTGGGATATTACAACATGGATTCCCCTTGTCAGTGATGCAGGACGGAGGGCATGACAAGGACAGCAGTCTAGTCATTTGGATGGGACGAAAAACCTGAGGTTCCGTGTTCACATTGGTGTGCACGTAAAAGATCCCTTGGTAGTTAAATTCAATACAAGAGTAGGACATAGTGATGCTGCCTGGGCAAAATTTCCCTCATAGCACACTGCATGGCATATGACTGTCTTCATTAGCCCAGTTCAGAGCAGTAGGATGTTAAACCCCATTTCATTTCATTGATGTTTCTAGTGGTTTACCCACAGTTCCGCGCACCTCATGCCAAAAACTCGCCATAACAGACCGTTAAATTGGCTAATCCCTCACATCATCCAGAATGCAGGTTATATAAGTATAAGTTATATATAGTCCTAGTGTAATAAAGACAAATAAAACAAAATTTTGAACTAAAAAAAAAAACGAAACAAAATAGGATCTGTGTTTTAATCAAATTGAGGTTTTCTAAAATTGACAATGACAGATTTCCTTATTTTAAAAAAATAGATTTGCTTAATACACATGCAGTTTCTAGTAATTATTAAAAAGTAAAATTTCAATAGGTCTTCCGGAAGAACTAAAATCTGTAGTTGAGCCTGAAGGCTAATCAAATATTAAAATTGATAGAAACAAATTTCCATGGCGGCTTATTCGATTATGTGAGCTAAATTTTAATAGAAATTTTTTCTTACACCTTCAACTAATAAGAAGCCTGCATTTAAAATTTATCCATAATTATACAGGTTTCAGGTTTGCCGACATGCTTTAGAAATCAGAACCGATTGTATTTCGTATTCTGTGATCTAATTTTGAATAGAAAATGCTTTAGAAATCGGAACCGATTGTATTTCGTATTCTGTGATCTAAGTTTGAATAGAAAATGTTTCTTTCTTCAACTAAAGATCAAGGGGGGGTTGGATGGCCGAATGGTTAGCACGTGCGCGCTGTATCATAAGGCCTGTCATCGAGTCAACTGGTGTGGTTTCGAATCCCTGGTTGTACCTGACCAGGAGCAGGGTCGCCTGTCCTGCCTCATGGGTTTTCTCTATGTGCTCCCGTTTCCTCCCACTGCTAAAGATACCTACGTGCAAGCGAATTATTGAAATAAAAAATAAACCATATGTTAGTCCCGAAATGACCTAGTTTGTGTCGAGTGGATGTTAAACCCCATTTCTCTCTCTCTCTCTCTCTAAAGATCATACTCCCTTTAAATTTTTCAACACCCAATATTAACATTATTAGATTCCGTAAGATTGCATCTTGCCAGCGAGAGTCAGTGCGTGCTTGCCAGGTCACAAGCGAAGGACCTGTTTCAAAGCTCTCTGCTTATTTTGTCATTGTGTCTTTTAAAAAAAGTTTATTTTTATTTTATTATTTGAAAATTTCTGTTACGTAGTAACAACGAAAATTGTACTGACGTAGTCAATAATTTGCTGAAGTAGTTTGCTTTTTTGGTTAAAGGGTCAATCCCGATAATTTTTTGGAGAATAAAACTGCTTAATTTTGTGTTAAAATCCCTTAAAATTCTCTACCTTAGGGCTGAGCAACTAACTCAATATTTGTGATACGCTTTCAAACAACTTAAATCCATCAATCTTCATCTGGAAATGGAGACAGGTGTACCAGACTTTTATTGTATAAAAATAATGTGTAGGTGAAATTTACCTTTCGTTATCAAGTACAGCACATGGGTCATTCACTGTATAGACCTTTAAAGGAACGGGAATCGATTATCAGATCATCCAACGAAAACATTGACCCAAAATCTTAAAAGGGTTACATATCCAGATAAGGATTTTTGGCTTTCACGTCCAAACGACTCAATATTTTGAGCTGAAGTTTTGAGATAAGGTAAATACACCATTCACCTATATTTTGGCATTTAAATTTCATACGGACTTGGATTTTATCTTTGAGGCTTTGTTTAAATCGGGATAGTCCCTTTAAAAGCAGTTTGCTTTTTGGTTTGGCAAGGCACATGGCTGAAAAAATGGTGAAACATGCTGCTGCTACTAAACAGATTCTTAGGAAAAATTTACAGGAAACCATGAATGGTGGTAAAAGAAAAAAACAAAATCCGACAAAAGAATCTGGAAACAGAGTATTTATTAATTTTACCCATAACCTGCTGGTGTCAGGTTTGCGTTGTTTTGTCTTTCTGATAATCCTCCGGGAAATTAACAACAAAGTGTGGCTAATTGGTTCAAGCATTTACGCTTTCACGTGGAAACATTTATCAATACTTGTTTATTTCATCTGATGATTTTCTATTAATAGACTTATTTAGAATCCACAGAGAGAGAGACAGAGACAGAGAGAGAGACAGAGAGAGAGAGAGAGTTTAACTCAACACAGACTAGGTCATTTTGAGACTAACATATGGTTCAATTTTTATTTCTATAATTCACTTGCGCGTACAGGTCTTTAGCAGTAGGAGGAAAACGGAGTGGACGTTAAACCCCATTTCTCTCTCTCTCTCTTTCAAAGGCTAATATCTCCGCTCGCAACAGAGTAATTTGAATGAAATTTTCAAATTATTCATTTTACATTATCTATTTTCGAACTATTATAGCGAGAACAGTCAGCTCTTTAACTAAATCTTACATAATGTCATCTTTAAAGAAGGTTAATTAGGAATACCCACGTGTTTTTGTTGAGTGTTGGATTGATGCACACAAACAATATTTTAAAAAAAAGAAAAACAAGTTATAGTTTCAAGGCTGGTTGATTGAATAAATAGTAGTCAGTACACAAGGTTTAGTTTAGGTGTAATGTTTGTAGCCTCTGGCTCTGTCTGTGACAGATTCAGTACAATCACACTCTTCTCACTCTCTTCTATCTTGGATACTTACAGTGTCACCGCACGTCAATCAATGTGTTTTAATGTAAGGTAAAAGACCTTACTATGTCTGCATTCTGAGAGAGAGAGAGAGAGAGAGAGAGGTTTTAACCTCCACTCAACACAAACTAGATCATTTCGCGACTAACATATAGTTCAATGTTAATTCAACAATTCACTTGCGCGTAGGAGTCTTTACCGGTGGGATGAAACTGGAGAAAACCCATGAGGTTGGACAGGTGATCCTACTCCTTGTCATGTACAACCGGGGAATCAAAACCACGTCATTGACTCAATGACAGACTTTATTATACAACACGCACACTAACCATTTTCGGCCACCTAACCCCCCATAAAATTAAATAGGAATAAGTTATTAAGAGTCCATTAAACAGGGCAAAAGTTTGTTTTGAAAGAACATTATTAGTTTCTTTTGGACAGTTTCCAAGACTTTGACATGAGATATGCCGTAGGCCTATGCATAAAAATCCATTGAAATAAATTGAAATGTGTATTTACATAATCCATCATTTTACAGTAAACAAATGCCCCAAGGCAAAACCAAAGTTGTAAAAGCAAAAAAAACTATTCAAAATAAAACTGTCCTTTATGAAAAAACCCTGACTTTAACAAGTATAATTGTAAGATTGTATTGAATAAAATATTGTTTGAGAGAGAGAGAGAGAGAGAGAGAGAGAGAGAGAGGGGGGAGAGAAATACCTATGCGTAAGAGAATTATTGAAATACAATTAAGCCATATGTTAGTCCCAAAATGACCTAGTTTAAGTCAAGTGGACGTTAAACTCATTTTCTCTCTCTCTCTCTGTTCATTGGTTCTCATTTTCACAATTCTTTATAACCAATGTATTATTTTAAATTGCACCTTTATTTTCCCGGTCTTAATCTATACTAAATCTCCCCGGTCTGGATTAAAGGACAATATTGGTGTCGGCCATTATCACATAATATGTGAGAGAACTGGTTAAACATGCTCCAAATATAGGTCCCTTCTATATAACTAATTGTAGTAACGAGCGATAACAGATACACACTTTACAACACCGAATTCATTGCTACGATAGATGCATAATGAAGATTTGAAGAAACAGAAGTGACGAGAGCAAAAGGGAAACACGAGTTATACTTCTATATAACTGACTGAAGTAACGAGCGATCACAGATACACACGTTCCAAATATAATTTCAAAAGCACCACAGACCCAAAACACTCTATGAAAATTATTCTAAGTCGAAAATTTTGTGGAATGTGGTACCACACAGGCACATGGGAAGGTCTGAGAAGAAATTTTTGAAAAAAAGGATATTTTTTCTAAGTTGAATATCTTGTGGAACTCTTGTGGTGAAAAGCAGACCCAAAACACTCTACCAAAATTATTCTAAGTCGAAAATTTAGTGGAATGTGGTACCACACAGGCACATAGGAGGTATGAGAAGAAATTTTTGAAAAAATTGATATTTTTTTTAAGTCCAAAATCTTGTGGAACTCTTGTGGTGAAAAACATCACAGACCCAAAACACTCTATGAATATTATTCTAAGTCGAAAGTCTTGTGGAATGTATTTATTTTCAGAAACCCAGTATCTTGTGGAACTCTTGTGGTGAAAAGTTCCACACCAATGCCCCCAAACCTTGCCATAGATGTTGCTACAATAAATGCATAATGAAGATTTGAAGAAACAGAAGTGACGAGAGCAAAAGGAAAACATGAGTTATCCTTCTATATAACTGACTGAAGTAAGGAGTGATAATAGATACACAGGCGAATTTCTGCTCACTAATTAATAATAAATGATATATTTATTTATTGTAAAAATTAAAAAAATATTTATTTAGCCACTGCTAAAGACCCCTACGTGCAAGCGAATTATTGAAATAAAATTGAACCATATGTTAGTCCCGAAATGACCTAGTTTGTGTCGAGTGGAGGTCTCTCTCTCTCTCTCTCTTTTTGGGGGGAATTTTTTCAAGAAAAAAAAGTTATAAGAACAAAAAAAAAAAAAAAAGTTACCTTGGTCCGTTCCTGTTGATGCATCTTTTTCTGGAAAACCTCTGGAACTGACGTCTATTGCCTTTTTTGTACTAAATCCATTTTGCTCCGTTGTCTGCCAGGGACAGGAATAATTATCTTCAAAATCACAAAATGAAATTAAACTTGACAGGACTGGCGGGGACGCAGAAATTAACAAAATCAGTTGGAATAATAAAATCCGTATTTTCATCTTGGCGCCGTGTAAAAACCATAAAAATACTCTCATTTAATAAAAAACTTCATTATGGCGGAGTCGTGGATAAGGAACGCAGTAATTAAAAAACACTTCTGACACTTCAGTTTAATAATCCTTCGTATAAATTTCTAACGTCACTTTCTATATCATGTCTAGGATGAGGTTAAATGCTCAGCATTCTTGTAAACAAAAACATCGCAGTGAATGAAACATGCTCGGTACTTGGCATGTGAATTCAATCTCGCCAAGCTATTTGTTCTTCTTCTTGAGATATAAGCAATTTATAACGGTTATTCACTTTATGGTGTTTTTTAAGCAGTTCTGTTTCCTATACCACTTAAGTTTTTGGCATCAGAACACAAAAACAAAATAAAAGCAACAAAACTTGATTCCTTATAATAGCTGACCTTTTTTTTTTCTTGTTAGCTTATTTATCTGTCCATGTCATTCGTCATTTAATAATGCAAAATCTTAATCAAAACTAATTTTTGGGTAAGAACACACAAAAACTTAGTATCTGTTTCCAATTTCATGAATTACAATTTGATCAGTTCAGCTGATAAAACAAAATATTCATCAAAAATAATTCGTATCTAAAGTTGTTTTTTCTGAAGAATCACAAAAACAATTAAATTGCACTCAAATTAAATAAAATCTCCTGTCCAAATTCCTGAATTACGAACAGCAAAAATTAAGAATTTGTTTCCAGTTTCTAGAGTTTTTTTTTTTTTGGTAAGAATTACAAAAACAGAATCAAGTTGAATCAAATTCTAAAAAATCTTCTTTTCAATTTTCCTGAATTACATTTTTGATCAATTATAGTTTTTTTAACATTAACAGGTTAGTTACAACAGGCTACCTATATCTGTTCACTTGACACCATAAAACTCCAATAATAACATAACGCTAGGTAGTCCGACTATAACACACATATCAAACTATAACTTTGAACAAACTAATCCCACAACATGAAAAAAACCACACACACACACACAAAACAGAAACAAACTTGTCTTGGACTAATCAGAACAATCCAAAAGTTCTTCTGTTCATTTGATTGGCTGTGTGTAATTCTGTGTGAGTGTGTTTGTAACATTTGACAGCCTTTGTACGTAAAAAGAACTCAATATACCTGAATCTAACTTGTTCAGCTGTCTGCATATAGGTTCGTGTGAGTTGTAAAACTCTACAGTTTATATCCTGCCTACAGTCATATTGAATAGACTGCATCACAGTCAGCTAATAATAATAATAACACATCTCTCTGTCTGTCTCTCTCTCCTTCACAACTTATACACATCTACTCTCTCTCTCTAGTTCACAGCTTATAAACAGTTTCTCTCTCTCTCTCTCTCTCTAGATCACAGCTTATAAATAAACAGCAACACTCTCTATCTTTACTCAATACCACAACACAAACACACTGATTACCCCCACAAGATGTTTCTGCTGTTCCAAGCCGTTAATCAGGTACCGTGCTACCCGTTATTTATCGAGCTCAGGCTTCTGTTAATTCCCTGGAAATCACTCGCCATCCGTATTGTGTGAATGTAGTCAAGTGTAATGCAATATAAAACGGACCACGAAGATCAATTTACCAGCACTGAGTCTTACAAACATCAATACATTGTAATAAACTTTTAACCTATGAAATAATTTTCTATCCCTCTGTACTACACACCAGTCGAAAAAAAAACTAAACTCTATGAATAATTAATATCTTACAAGTCTCTAAAGGATTGAAAAAAACAAAAAATTATTGTTAAACCTGCTTTTTTTTTTTTTCAACTGCCATGTAATTATTGAAATATTCTAAGAATGTGCTCTTTATTTATGTTTATTACAATAAAAAAATTAAAGAGAAACACGCAAACAAAACCAATAATAGATGCCTAGGGACTAGAAACAAACGACACAGACATTGCAAGCTATAAACAACAAAAATCATTCCAAATGAATGAATCCAGAGCAAGCTGTAATTGTCCACTGTGCTGTACAGTCTCGGACCTGTCCTAATACTGGCTTTACTTGCAATGACAAGGCATATGGTCCCATCTGCTTAACCTTGTGAGGGTAAAGGCTGTCACTAAGTCACATGTAGCTCGACCCCTTCCCCCTTTGCCCCCCCCCCATCCACCAATCCCCTAGTCAAACAGAGAGAGAAATGGGGTTTAACGTCCACTCGACACAAACTAGGTCATTTCGGGACTAACACGTGGTTCAACTTTAGCAGTGGGAGGAAACCGGAGGACCCGGAGAAAACCCATGAGGTTGGACAGGCGACCCTACTCCTTGCCACGTACAACCGGGGATTCGAAACCACGCCAGTTGACTCAATGACAGACTTTATGGTACAGCGCGCACATGTTAACCATTCAGCCACCCAACCTCCTTCCCCATGTCAAGCTGGTACATGACAAGGCATATGGTCCCATATGCGTAACCTTGTGAACGGTCTGATGTGATGGTAAAGGCTGTCACTGAGTCAGGGGATCACGTGGCTAAGTGGGTAAGACGCTGGCTCACTAGCCTGAAAGTCGGGTGTTCGATCCCTGCATTGGCCGAGAAAGTTCATTCAGATTTTTCCGGCGTGGTTTCCCCTTGTCAGTGATGCAGGACGGAGGGCCTGACAAGGACAGCTGTCTAGTTGTTCGGATGGGACGAAAAACCAAGATCCCGTGTACACATTGGCATGCACCTAAAAGATCCCTTGACAGTTGGAATTCGATATAAGAGTAGGCCGTAGCGCCGCTGCCCGGGCAAAATTTCCCTCATACCACACTGTATGACGTATGCCCGTCTTCATTAGCCCAGGTTAGGAGCAGAACAGTAGGACGTTAAACTCCATTTCATTTCATTTCATTTCTGTCACTGAGTCACATGTAGCTTACATCTAAATCTTACATGTATCTTTAAAGTTCATCAGGATTTTTCGGCGTCATTCCCCTTGTTAGTGGTGTAGAAAGGAGGGTCTGACAAGGAAAGCTGTCTAGTCGTTTGGATGGGACGAAAAACTGAAGTCCTGTGTACACATTGGCATGCACGTAAAAGAACCCTTCACAGTTGGAATACGATATAAGAGTAGACCATAATGCCACTGTCCGGGCAAAATTTCCCTCATAACAGTACACTACATGACATATGCCCATCTTCATTAGCTCAGTTCAGAGCAGAACAGTAGGACGTTAAATCCCATTTCATTTCATTTCAATTCCAACAAAAGTTTATACAAAGACAACATAGGGATATTTACATTGAACCCAGTGTTCGTCTAGACTATATGTCAATTAAAATGATTTGTTAACCCATCCTGGATAAATATACAAATATACTTCAAACACTGACCAGTCTATTAACTAAACTAGAGAGAGAGAGAGAGAGGGACAGAGATGTGGTTTAAACAGAGAGAGAGAGAGAGAGGGACAGAGATGTGGTTTAAACAGAGAGAGAGAGAGAGGGACAGAGATGTGGTTTAAACAGAGAGAGAGAGGGACAGAGATGTGGTTTAAACAGAGAGAGAGAGAGAGAGGGACAGAGATGTGGTTTAAACAGAGAGAGAGAGAGAGGGACAGAGATGTGGTTTAAACAGAGAGAGAGAGAGAGGTCCATTGATATAAACTAGGTCATTTTTTGGGACTAACATATGGTTCAATTTTATTTTAATATTTCGCTTGCAAGCAGAGGTCTTTTGCAGTGAAAAGAAACCAGAGGACCTGGAGAAAACCCACGAGGTTGGACAAGCGTCCCTACTCCTTGTCACATACTATCAGGGAATCGAAACCACGCCAGCTGACTCAATGACAGACCTTGGACTTGTACAGTATATAAAAGATGAAGATATACCTATACAAAGGTAACCATGGAATTGTTTTGCGTGTTCGATCCCTGTATAGGCCAAGAAAGTTCATCAGGATTTTCTGACGTGGTTTGGAATTGTCAGTGGTGCAATAACAACTGTCTAGTTGTTCAGATGGGACGGAAAACCAAGGTCCTGTGTATACATTGGCATGCACGTAAAAGAACACTTGGCATTTGGAATTCGATATAAGAGTAGGCCATAGTGCCATTGTCCTGGCAAAATTTCCCTCATAGCACACTGTATGGCATATGCCTGTCTTCATTAGCCCAGCCAGAGCAAAACAGTAGGACGTTAAACCCCATTGCATTTCATTTCCTTGAAATTGTTTTAAGCTTATTATTTTGGACCAGTCTATCATACTTGATAATATAAAACAGGGGATTGGATGGCCGAATTGTTAGCACGTGCGCGCTGTATCATAAGGTCTGTCATTGAGTAAACTGGTGTGGTTTCGAAACCCAGGTTGTACGTGACAAGGAGTAGGGTCGCCTGTCCAACCTCGTGGGTTTTCTTCGGGTCCTCTGGTTTCCTCCCACTGCTAAAGACCCCTACACGCAAACGAATTATTGAAATAAAGTTGAACCATGTGTTAATCCCGAAATCACCCAGTTTATGTCGGGTGGACGTTAAACCCCATTTCTCTCTCTCTCTGATAAATCTGTTTCGGCTGCTAATATAAAACAAGTCGAAGGTATTTAATATTTAAAAAATTTATCTCATTCTATACTACTTAGTACAGTTGAATTAAAAACATCGATTAGCTTTTCTGTTTTTAAGTTACTAAATAGCTAAACAAATAGATAACAGCATCATTGATCACAGTTTGTTATCATCATCCCATCTTCCTAGCCTATTTGATGGATAATAGCATGATGGTAAAGGAGCTAAATCGCTAATATTTGGGACCTAGAAATTGACGTGTGCAATAATTTTAACCACCGTACTGGTTGTTCGAAGCTAAGTTTCACTCCTCCATTTTTAGCTTAAATCAAAATATGGCTGAACTGTTCTAATCTATTTAATATTGGAGAAATCCGATGA